AATTCGCATATCTTATATATTTTAATCTAATAATCATTTATGATCAGATTTAATTTATGTTCTTTTTCCTCTAAAAAAAGAAATTCCTATCACCAGATTCATTCACTAAAGTATGTTCATGTAACAAATTGTGCATCACCTTTTACTGTACACAGATTCGGCATAGATCTTATTGAAGAAAAGAAAGAACCCCAAAACTTAAAATTGTCTTCAAATTTTATTGAATGCTTTGAACCATTTGGCCTGAGATGGACAGTCAAACCCGCCGTCTCTAAAGCTACCAACTCATTTTCCACAAAGAAAATTCATTGACTAACGACGGAAGACCCTAATCCATATAATAGAACAAGTACAAAACTATTTATGAGTTATTTATAATGACTTTCTTATTTTGACCAAAATTTTGAAATGGAATATATCCATCAATCCTTTTCATGCCCAATGTTGCTCCCTGGTTCTTGTGTAAATTGTAGTCAACATATATAGGCGACATGTAAATTTTCATCAATGCATGAAATGATGCAAGAAAAGCCATAATTAAATTTAATATAGATTGTAATTAATTACCGCCAAGCACACACCAACCATAAAGACAAATGGATATAAAGGAAAGTAGAATTATTAATTATAGCATTACACGAGCCTCTCTAAATGTACAAAATACATCAATCTATGTACTCTATGAATCATAATATAAATTCAAAATAAAATATTACATGCCCCTTTAAATCGATTTAATTGTCAATATTCCTTTTTCATAGCAAAAATTAAAAAAAAACTAAACAAAAGAAAATTGGTTAACTTATAATGCATATATATATATAGAGAGAAAGAGAGAGAGAGGAAATGGAATTACTTACTCCAAAAATAAGTTTTATTTATACTTACTCTATTCAATAATTTATGTTGTATACTAAATTTTAATAATCCAATTGTTAAATTAAAAAAATTTAATGTATGGTTCAAATTTGCAATTTTTTAAAAGAATTAAAAAAAATTTGATACTCCGTTTCAAAATTCAAATCAATGTGTAAAATATTTTTATGATTATTCATCAATTTGAATTGATGAAATGAAGTATTAAATAATTTTTAATTTTCTTAAAAAATTTGCAGACTTAATTTATATATTAAGAACTTTTGATTCAACGCTTGTATTATTAAAATTTGATATTGAATGAGTTATTGAGTGAAATAAGTTTAAGTAAATATTTTTTATTCTCTTAGAATAAGGAAATCCTATCTCAAAAAAATAAATAAATAAATAAATAAATAAATAAAATATATATATATATATATATAAAAGAGAGAGGAGAAAAAAATAAAAATTAAATAAATAAAAAAGATTCGTCATTTTTTTTATTTTTCTTCTCTCTAATTTTTCTTAACCAAATAATTTTTCTCATTTTCACTTTTTTGTTTTTACTCTTTTTAAAACTTTTTACGAAAATTGACAATCATATAAAAATAAAGGTCCATAAAATTATATATATATATATATATATATATGATGAGGGTTATAATAACATCGATGTAACTTTTACTAAGTATTACATCGTTCAATAACTTTATATTAAATGTGAATTTTGTAAATCTAACCATTAGATATTGAAAGTTTATGTCACTTTATATGTTTATATCAAATTTTGTTAAAATTGAACAACAACTTGAAGGTAATCAAAGTTTTCATATTTTAGTATATTTTGAAATAATATATTATGTCAATTTTATTTTATAAAAATGAAGTATCAAATCATTTTGGCTTAATATAAAATTTTGTATATATGATCTAAGAGTAAAGAACTTTCAATCTAACAGTTTTGAATTATAAAATTCATATTTAATATAAAGTTATTGAGCGGTATAATACTTAATAAAAGTTATATCGATATTATTATAGAGAGAGATGAGGGATCCGTTTACTCTAGGAGTAAGTCTACCTAGACTTATTCCATTCAATAATTCATGTTCTACATCAAATTTCAACGATCAAATCGTTGAATTCAAAGTTCTTAATGCATAAATCAAGTCTGCAAATTTTTAGGAAACTTGAAAATCATTTGATATTTCATTTCATTAATTCAAATTAATGTATAAAATGATTTTATGATTATCTGTCAATTTGAATTATTAAAATGAAGTATCAAATGATTTTTAAATTTTTTAAGAATTTGTAGACTTGATCTATGTATTAAGAACTTTAAATTTAACGGTTGAATTAATCATTAAAATCTGATGTAGAACATGAGTTATTGAATGAAGTAAGTCTATGTTTTTTTTTTGAAACAGCAAATAAAATATATTAATATTTGGACACTAGGGGTGCCACCCATATTTACAAGAGAGTTTTGGCTTATCAAAATAATATGTTCCTACTTCCATATTCTTGATGGGTACGTTTTACATATGATCTCATGGGTGTAGAAAAACAATTGAACTTCCTCGCACACCCTCACTCTTTTACATCTAAGTCTATAAACAAGCTCCTGGATTGACAATCCATTGCTGATAGCTGTACTGGAATGAGCTGTCCATTGATAACCATAGCCAAGAAAAATAAATTATGTCTTGATATGTCTTTTCCTTTAAGAATTGTACTCCTCTAAATCTAGAATTGTTTCTTGCCTTCCATATATTCCAAGTAACTGCACACCATATCACCTGCCATCTGTTCCTTTCTTTGTTTGAATTCACTTGATAAGGTTGTTGAAGAAAATGTTGAACCAAATCTTGTGGCAAAACTATTGCTTCAGCTACCCAACCGTATATATCCTTCCAGATTCTGTCTGTGACTGCACATGAGAACATTATATGCTTTGTAGTTTCTTCTGCTTTCCCACAAAAAATACATGTTGCATTTACATCTTGTACTTGTATGTTTCTTCTCCTTAGGTTGTCCATAGTTGCCAAGCTATTGTGTTGCATCTTCCAACAGAATATTGCCACTTTTGGTGGGATTTTCAGCTTCCACAGAACGTTGATAAATGGGCTAACATTGTTACTTTGGATTGTTGTTATTGCTTGGATTGCTTCATATGCTGATTTGACAAAGTAACTACCCTGAGTGTCATACAACCACTTCCATGTATCTGTTTGTCCGTGTCTTAAACTTTGTCCTTGTAATAATGTTTGTAATGTTTCCCACTGATATGATTCTCTACCAATCCATGCTCTTCTCCATTTGAGTTCCCAATGCCATTTATTGTCTATCCACCTTCCCATTTTTTCTAATGTCCCGTCTTGTTGTTCCGAGTTTAAGTATAGCCTCGGGAAGCTTTCCATCAATGGTTGATCCCCTATCCACTTATCCATCCAGAAACGGCCCTTATCCCCTTGGTATACTTATTTCTAGAATAAACGAATCCATCCTCTTATATATATATATATATATATATTTTGTAGGAATTAATTGACTCCTTTATTCATTTATGTTCTTTCTCATATATCCCTGCAAGACTCACTAATTATACCTCCCTTGAAATAAAATACAGAAATCATTTCATGCTTCCAGCCACGAGTCGGTCCATGGACCACAACTTGAATCAGCCAGTATTAATTATAGTTTATTAAAAACAATTAATTAAGTTATTTTTCTTAATACGATCAACTTGTTTTCGTTTCGCTTTCCATTTTTCTTTTTTGACTTTTTCATTTTTAGTCACCCTTTCTTTAATTACATCAACTATCATCTTAAATATGATCTTACATCAAAATTACTTTGATAAATGTCATTACTAGAATTTTTTTTATTACATGCGACTTTTCTTGCGAATTTTTCATAAAAATTCGCTGGAAACGTTGTTTCTGTAAATTTTCCTACAAAATTTTATCTGTAGGTAATACCTTTGTGGATAATATTTTTTTGTGAATTTTAAAATTCGCAGGAAATTTTCCTGCGAAATTTCTTGCGAAAAAAATTCGCAGGAAACTTTCCTGCAAAAAAAAATTTGCAGGAAAGTTTCTTGCAAAGAAAATTTGTAGGAAAGTTTCTTGCATAGAAAATTCGCAGGAAAGTTTCTTGCGAATTTTTTTGCAAGAAATTTTGCAGGAATATATTTTACGAAAAAAATTAAAGAAATTACTATAAATTCTATCAATAATATTTCAACTTTCAAATGCTCACAATGAATTCATCCGAAGCATTTGTTTCCATGCCTCCAACATGTGATACATAATCTTTTAAATTCTAAGATTGTAGATTATAAGCGTAACACTCAACCATATAAATCAACTTGTAAGATAAGTGTTGCCCCAACTTATATACTCTTTAATTGCTTTATTTTCAATCGATGTGGGACTTGAAGTTTTTTTTAAAATATTAAATTTATAAAATTTAAATATATATATTTTTTATTTTTCATGCGGATTAAAATTTGCAGGAAAATTCGCAGGAAAAGTTACCTGCAATTTTTTTTCTACCATTTAGTAAACATTACTTATGAATTTATTTTTGCAAGAAAATCTGCAAGAAACAAAATAAAATTCTTACAATATTTTCTGCAAATTTTCACCACGGAAAAAAATTCTATGATTATTAAAATTGTAGCAAAATTTGTAAGAAATTTCTGTAAATTATTTTTCGCAAATAAATTCGCAAAAAATTTATGCAAATATTTTTTTGCAAGAAAATTTGTAAAAAATTTCTGCGAATATTTTTTTGCAAGAAAATTTGCAAAAAATTTCTGTGAATATTTTTTTGCAGGAAAAGAAAATGACACTTTTTGTGTTGACAAATCATGTACGACTTCTATTCATTTATTAACATGTCATCTTTAAAAAAAAAAAATTGATTCCGAAACGAATTAATCACAATTAAGATAAATACATAGCATCATATTGAATTTTTTACTTGTAGTCATGGGAATTTCCCAGTAGATGAGAGACTAATCCGCTTGAAGTAGTTGATCCAAATGGTTTTTTCTTTTGCACACAATTATATCATTGAATTTAATCAACAAATCAGTAGACAAAAATAGAAAAATTTAACAATAGGATCAAGAATTGAAACAAATACATGTTGTAAATATATTGACTTAATAAAACCAATTTAATTATGAAAACGAACATTTAACACCAACAGATGGCAGTTGAATTAAATGGATTTGAGAGACTTAAACTAACATAACATCATCATCATCAACGATGCACTACCCGCCGCAGAATAAATAAAAGACCAATGTTGTTGGTCAAAGTTATTGGTCAACTTGATACTGTGCCAAGTCAGCAACCACTCTTCTCACTGCTTCCTCGAAGGCAGACTCGTCCCACTCACTTCCCTGCGTAAACATCGATCAACAGCTGATTATTCTTCACAAAAAGAAAAAAAGATTCCCTCCTAATCATAATATATACTATTATACATGTTAACAGTCACACTTTTTAATATGTTATCTTTATTGTCAATTAAAATTTATTAGTGTCTCCTAGTTTAATATTAAGACTTACTAAAATTTATAATGTTTAATCAAACACAAATAATATTAAAAAAAATATCACAATCAGTTTTTTTATATTTAGTTTTTGAGTGCGACCTTTTGTGAAATGATGGATGCAATATATATAATATAATATAATAACGTTTCATAGTAGACTAGATGAAAACCAAATTGAAACGGGACTTGTATAACAAACATACTACAAAATTGTGACGTGTTTAGTCGTTTTGTCTGATTATAATACACCCAACAACCATCGCCACAAGTTTAGTTTTCTTCTTTTACGAGGCAACTTTGTATGTATATGTATAAAAGTTATCAACAAATTTATGCTGATTCATGTTCGATGGTTGTCAAAATAGAACCAAACTTTTTGAATTGAATATGTAATTTCTATTATCCTCAGATGGTGACAAAGGTAGCAGCCTAGCACACCAAACCAACCACCTTCGCAGTCACAACTGCACTTTCGAAGCTCCTTCCTTTTGATAACTTTAACACATCGAAAGATATATTTTTCATCATTATAGTGAACAAGGAGGGTTCTTGGATCCTGCAATAAAGAAGCTGCCACTTTTTTTCCTAACCTAATTGTCGGATTTTGTATGCATGAATTCTACTCTCATAATGCAGAAATGGACTTGTCATGCGCCACCCACTTTTGAAAAGTTTGACATGTGCAAATAGTTGTGTAAATAGAACTTTCTTTTACTAATTTGAATATTCATGTGCTAGTGCTGCATGCATAGTGAGACTATTATCATCTTCCGGACTGAATTATATTTTGTGAACGTGGACATGTTTAAAATTTGTCTACTTTACCAACATATGTTAAAATAATTAATACTAAAATTACTTCATAATATATCTTTTAGCCCACTCAACCAAATCCTATAGCTGTTTCGTTTATATAATTAAGTTCCTTGATTGGCTAACATAGACATGTACACCGGTTGCTCATATTGTAATTAATGACATCTTGTCTAGTATGTTTAGTTCTGTGAAACATCATCCAATTTTGAATGGTAGAATCATTATAAAAAAAATGTCACATACTAACAAGAAATAAATGTTAATCGCTAGACGTGTAGTATGAAAAAAAAACTTAAATATTAATATAAAACATTGTAAATAATTAAATATAGGCTAACATTGTGATCGATATATCATATTAATATAATATAATGTTTTTTTTGGGGTATATACCAAACTCTTATAGAATTGTCTGTTGGACCCACAATTCTGTGTTAACAATTCAATTTTTTGTTAAAAAATTTATACACGAGATCATGCTTCCATTATTGTATAACATTTCTTTCTAACGAAGTTATTCTATCTATACTATATTTTATGAATTTTTCTAGAGATAGATATATATACATACCTGAATGATCCTTAATCTGAAGGTTAGTTGTTGAAGAGCATTATTCCCTTCTGCAATGTGGGTGTTTGCGTCCATGGAAACCAAGCTCATGTGGTGAGAACGTTTTAAGAATTCCAATATGCGAATTAACAAATCAATTTGAGAAATTTGTCCTCTCACATTCACTTGCAAGTCCACCATTCGCTCTTCTGATGAGCTTGATTCCGGAACATGTGAAAGTCGAACATTTACTCTTTCATTTGATGATAAACCAACCTTGGTTTCTTCAGTTGAAGATTCTTTTGCTGGCAAAAGTGACGTCAAGCCCTGATTCCTTTTGCTTAGTTTATCAACTTCAGCCACCAAAGAGCTCAATGTCTCCTTTGCTGCTATTAGTATAGATGCTTTGTCTTTCTATCAAATTGCCACGTTCAAATTCATAGCATTAATTTTGGAGTACTCAGCATATCAAAACAAAAATGGACAAAACTTAATCTATATCTATACTATAATACTTTAGTACCTACTTTGCTATTGTTCTCTATTTTTATTGTATCTCAGTTATACAAATGAATCTCAAATTTGATTTGAAAACAGTATAAACTATATATATGGTATGAAGTCCAAAAGAAGTAAGAGGTGGGAAGAAATTTTTTTTGGGGGTGAATATTGGTGTGAAAAGAAGTAAGAAATAAGAAAAACAAAAATGATACATGTGATAAATAATGAAAAGGAAAACAAAGAAATAGAAAAGAGAAAATGAAATGTACACGAGTAAAAGAGAAAATGAGTATACATTCTTGTTATTTTTCTGAGTTTTATTCATCGCATGATGTATTAAGAACACATTTAGATATAAATTTACAAAAGAATATATAGTTGAATAGTTTTGTACCTTGGTTCCTGGAGGAAGTAGTGCTCTAAGAGCTTGGAAATTCTCGTTTATTTTCTCACGCCTTCTTCTCTCTGATATCATATGATGGAGCTGAGTATTAGTGGGACGTGACGTTGCTTGAATGCGTTCTCTCATTCTCATGAAATTCAAGTTTTTAAAGAATGCAAAAGATCTCTTCATCAGGCTTTGCCTTCTGAAATTGGACGCCATATTGGGACCTATGTCTGGCCTATACCTCTGGAAAGCACTAGCTTCTGGATGCACCACATAAGGCAAGTTTTGATGATGCTGATGAGAAGTTGGAGATATAACATGGAGGATTGCTCTCATGATTGCATCATGTTCAGTTTCTTGTGTGGGGAATTGGGTTAGAGGGACTTGTGCCAATGTTTGATCAATGGTACTAGTAGCAGTGTTTGGCACTGGCTGCATTGGGGGCACTACTCTTCCAAGGGTCTCAGGAAAGTGTGTCTGAGAAGTGCCTGGGATGCTGAACAGAAGAGATGAGTATTCAGGGCTACCTGTGGATAATGATCTCAAAGAAGATGAAGATGATGTAGGTGGGTTGTTTTGATCAATTTGTTGGGACTGTCTAGAGAAATCTTCAGGAAACAAACTCCTAAGTGCTGTTTGAATGTCAACCTGTGTAGAGAAAAGAAAATGGGAAATCAAAATTCAATTACAATATTGATTCATGCAAATAGAATTTGATCATATTTTAATACAATATAGAGTCTAGTTAAAATAAGCTCGAAAAAACTTCTGAGAGTTTTTTTCATCAAAAGAAGTTTTGAGTATTTCTAACTTGTATTTAAACAGATTCATATCATATATAGTTGCTTACTTGGGACATGTTTAAGAAACCAAGCTCAATTTCCCCTTTGTTACACCCCATGAAAACAGCAGTCTGAGAAGAATAAGGACCAAAGCAGTGAATTAATAAGATTCCTGGTTCATCATAAAGCTTATTAGGAAACAAAATTTTTGGTGTTTGACAACAAACGAACCTTAATCCTCGCCTCCTGTAAAATAAGACAAAAAAATTATTTAAATATAGCAGTGGTTTGAACTTCGAAGTGAATTCTCTTTAATTATAGCAATAAATTACCTGAAAGAATTGTGTTTGAATTTCTGTGGATGCTAGTCTCAGAAGTTCCAATTGTTGAAGCTCTAGGTAGGGACGCTGGTTTCTAAAAGCAAGTCCAGGAACACGGCTGAATAAACCAACGAAATTGTGTCACTTTTTTAAGAAAAGAATATTTTGTATATTATAACAATCAAATGCAAAGAAGTACTTTATGCCATAATTTGCATTAAAAATTAGGGAACATGAGAGCTAGCCCTACTCATCATTGACATCAAATGTTAAAGTCCGGAACTGGCTGAATAGTTGCTGTGCCACAGTCCCCGAAGTAGAGCTTGGTTGGTCGTTTCTTACATTGTAGAAACCATCCAAGAAGCACAAACGACTACGCCAAAAAATCAAAACCAGACTTAGTTATGAGCACAATCAGCATGCCTCAGAAGTATCTCATATATGCTTATAAGTAAAATGGAATAATAAATGCACATGCATATATTTATATACTTTGGTGAATTAATGGAATCACATGTCCATAGACAAATGTAACTGCAGCCAAAAGACTGCACCAGGAATTGGATAAAATCAGTTCTGGCGGCTACAGGGAGAGAGAAGACACTTTCCATGGGGTGCATTGAGCTTGATATATGCTAATGCTTTTGCATCATGAACATGAGATAAAAGAGTATATGTTTTGTGTCTCTAGTAATACTGTTTTTCCCCTTTCTATATGCCATTTGAATTTTTTTCTTATGAAAAGCAATCTACTCCTATACGTGGGTTTGTATGAGTTAGGGAGTGGCTTGGTTTCATTGACAAAATAAACTATAAAGGCAGAAAAAAGATGTGATAGAAGGGATGCATGATTAAGATTCCAAGGGAGACATGTAGAAATAATCTTCAATTGCTCATAAATAATTAGCCATTGAAAATTTCAAGATCCATAGTTATTCCACGTGTGAAAGGAGAGAACGGATCAAGGAGAGAAGGGGGTTTGAAAAGTACTAAAGTAGGTGATCCCACTATGAGGACAAGTATATATGATATGAAGTGTGAAATTAACCCCAATGAATGAGTGAGTAGAAAGAAGAAAAACAACCTAAACCCAAAAAATGAAATAAATAAAAAAAATAAAAATAAGAACACCACCTGCATAAGTGAAGAGAAATTGTCTTCTTGAAAAGTAGTGGTATTAGTAGCAAGAATAAGTTATCGTATTGATGAACATGTAATGTGAAGAGAGAGAAGTGGGGACTAGAAGATGTGAAGGTTTTATAAGAATTGATGGAAAGAGAAAGCATGAAAGAAAAGTAGGGTAGGAAGGGGTGGAAAAGTAGTAAAGTCAAAGTCCATGCTTGAAAGGTTTGAAAATTAGTCAATGGTGGAAGGCACGGTGTTTCTTTCCACTTGACATCTGTTCAATTCTTTTGAAATTTCTACTTCTCACTCTGCACTTTTTTATTTGTTTGCCTTTCCTCCCTCCTTGTATTATTCTAAGCAAACATATGTCATGGGAAATTAAAATAGTAATACTATTCATGTAAGTATTCATAAAAAAATAAAGAAATTAAAATATTTTTTTATTAATTGAAATCAACTTGTGCACTATTATTATAGAAATTTTCTCGTCTATCTTCTTTTGAAATTGAATTACATGACTTGATTAATTTTTTTTAAGAGAAGTTAAATTTACTTCACCTTCTTACTTTGTTCTCTTATGTTATAAAAAAATTATGTATCTATCTATATATATAGTTTTACTATTATACAAAAATACGGCTTAATAGTAATAATTGTGTTTTTTAACAGTTAATAGTAATTATTGTTAAAATAACACCTACTCGTCCTTATTAACTATAAGATTAAGAATATTTTTATTCTCTTTAATTTGGACTAAGTAATTTTTTTTGTCTCGAACAAATTTAAAATTAATGTTTGTCTATGTAACTAAAAAAGATAAATCTAAAATGAATAAGAATTATAGATGTCAAAATGAATTTATATACCTCAACGGGTTAATTTGTATAATTTGGCTAAATACATATCCCACACAACTTGTTAACCCAATGAATTAAATGACAATTCAAGTTTAGTTTGTTTGTCATTTGATCCATATTCCTGTTCAATTTTATCCATCTCCTTCATTTTTATCTATTTACATTAATTTTTTTATTATTTATAATATATTTGTTTATTAAGATTTATTTTGATTGTGGGTTCATTTGTCTAAATTTTATTTTAGAAAAATAAAAATTTATCAACAATAAAATAGGATTATCAGCAACATTAAAATAAGTCTATAATAAAATCACAAATAACTTCTTCAATAACGGTATGTAAAATAAGTACAGAATATATGTCAGTTTGTTTTAATTAAAAATTACTATAAAAAAACTAAAATTATTTAATTTAATATTATTTTTATAACATTTTTTATAATTATATTTGATTATAAAATTTGAATAAAATTTAAGATAAACAAAATAAAATTAATTTATAATTTTAATGGATTAATATGCAAACTCAACCCACAATACATCGTTTTGGGATAAGATTTTTAACTTAATGTATGAAAAAATGAATCCATTCTAATTCAACTCATTAGCCCATCACATTTTGTTAACTTGTTTGTTCTTCCAAGTTTAAAATGATTTTTGAACATATGTAATTTTTAAAAACAATATGTTTTAGTAATTATTGATAGAAACAAATTTAGTCGTATGTTATTTTCACTTATAAAAATAATAACATGTGAATTTTATGTGACAAATTTATTCATGGCGTTAGAGCATACAAATTGGAATAGTCTTCCAAATTTAAAAAATTAAAAATTAATTGTAAATTGAATTGATAAAAATAAAAGTTTTCATATTAAAAAGATTAAAAATATATCCACCCCTTAAGTTTTATTATGAAACCGAAGAAAAAAAAAGTTGTGTACCGGAGATTAAGCAAGCTCTCACGGGACAACTAAATTGATCAATCTATTTGTTTACTAATGATATTTTGACGAATTTTTCTATAGTTTAATTTGAACCATTAGCCAGGTGGAGCTTTATTATTAAATAACTCTACACAAGTCAATGAATGGACTTGTGGTTATGGTCATCATAAACTCTCCCTAGTTTATTTGTCGCTCTCTTATTTACCAAAAAAAGAAAATCAACTTGTAGTTTTGTTTTGTTTTATTTTATTTGTTAATATATGTGAATCAAGTGGAAATTTATTATTTAAGTAACCAATCTACCATAAACTTGAGTTATTTTTATGAACATTCACATATGCAAGTTTTAGAATAGAGCAGCCACGTTTGATTAATTCCTGAATGCATGTAAGCTTCCAAGTTCCCACTGTTGTATGAACGAGAATTTTAAAAATTTAAACATGCAATTTAAAATTTTAAAGAATTGAATTATTTGATTTCAATTTTTATTATTTTTAATTTTTTTAAGTATATTTATATATTTTTAAAATTTTAAATTCTTAATTTTGATAGGATAATTTAATTTTCATCATGGATTAAATTGTTTTTAAACAAATATATATTGAAATTTTAAGATTTACTTTTATAAAATTAAATATTAATCAATTTTTACATATTTAAAAACTATTTAAAAAAAATAATATTTAATAATTTTAACTATTTAGTAATTAAAAAAGTTATTAATATTTTTTTTTAAATTCTTGTTTTTGAGAGAATTTAAAATTATACTATTTTAAGATATTTCACAAATATTTAAATTTTAATTTTTTTTAATAAATTATTCATTCAAATAAAACATTTTATATTTAAATATTTGAAATTTTTAAGAAAAAAAAATGAATTATCATATTTAAACTCTCCATCTAAATACACTCCTAACTTCTTGTGCAATATTGTTCGGAATATATTTTAGTATATACATCAGATCAGCTTATTAAAAATGCAGAAGACGAGAAAAAATAAAATAAAACTATACAATAAATTCTGAAAATTCTAATGGTAAGTGAATATTAGCGCACTGTTTGGTTTAATTAGTTAAAGAAATTGATTAGCTAAAAAACATAACAAAGTAGCTTAGGGCATCTCCAATGGAAGCAACTCATTTGAGTTGCTTCATGCATTGAAAAATAAAAAAAGTGGTTCCTAGTGTGCTATGTCAACATTATGCAACTCAAACACAAATTTACTCTAATGGTAAAATTTTTTAAGAAATTCAAACTTTTAGAATTTTTTTCTAATCATTTATGAACCAAATTTAAATTTTTATTAAAAAGGATAATTGCACTACATTAATGAAAGAAAATAAATTACGAGAAAAAATACACAATAATTATATATTAGAAATAAAATAAATCAATAATAAATACATAAATATTATATGAAATTAATTTTCATAATTATTATACGAAAAAAAAAAAATTTACCCAACAGCTACTTCAAACGGTTCTTTTATTTTTTTAATTTTTTTTAACCCCCAACGTCTCTTTTTTCTTCCCAGTCACTCTCTTCCTTTTTCCTTCCCACACTCTCCATCCCCTCACTCTCATTTTTCCTTTTTCCTTCCCTCACTCTCTACTTGTGTGCCGTGCTTGGTGGGTGGCGCTGTCAGCCACTGTGGGAGGCCATGGTGTTACTCTGATAAGGCTCTCGAGGCCTTCAATAAAACTGTCGTGCATGGCTCTGCCCTCACCGTTAAACCCCGCGCCTCCGCCGTTAGACCCCGCACCTTTGCCGTCAAACTCTGCGCCTCCACTGTCAAACCCTCGCTGTCAAACCCTACGCCTCCACCGTCAAACCCCGTGCCTCCATTGTTGTCAAACTTCGCGTCTCTGCTGTCAAACCCTCGTCGTCTAACCTTGCCCCTCCGCTGTCCAACCCTCGCCTCACCCCCGCTCTGCTGATCTCTTCCCCAACCAAAATTTGGTAAGGAACGGTTGCTTGAGGAAGCAACTCTCTCTCTTCTTCGAGCAACTCGTTGCCACGTCAGAGTCCTCCAATGGCAAGAAACTGGGGCTTGAGTTGCTTCATGGGACAAGTAACTCCCATTGGAGTTGCTCTTAGAGAACTAGAAAGTTAAAATATTACAACAAACTTACCGAATAACAGCGACTTATTAGCGATGGCATGGGAAGTTGGTAACAAAAGTATCCAGTGGTGACTAGGTTGATTATCTCTAATTTTTTAATTATATTATTGATATGAAATATTTATTTATTTATTATTAATTAATTTTTATCAAAGAATTTAATTGATTAGTTTTAGTAAGATCTTTTTTTTAATTATGAATTTTTTCATTTATAAAACTCGAATTTGAAACCTTATATAAGATAATCGCATTTCTATGGAGATGACATTTAATGTTGGTTAAATTAGGCATTCTATGTTGATCTTAGACACAACATAGATCCTGACAATTTAGAATGTTTAAACATTCTATGATGGATCAACATGCGACATAAAATGTTTATTTTCTATACCGAGTGTGACCACATGTAATCGTGGTATGAATATCAAATATAATGATTTAATCATATTAACACTCACATTTTATGACGGGTGTGACCACATGTAACATAAAACATTACACCTTCTATGATGGATAAGGTCATATCGCCATAGATTGTGTATTTTCTATGACGATATTGGTGTCAAATAATTAAGTTGGGCTAGCTTGACCTATATATGAGTCAATGTTATTTTAGGTTAGGCTGGCTTGACCTATATTAATTTATTTGGATTGTCATTTTTTGGCGCAATCTGACCTATGTTGAGCCAATGTGCCTCTAATTTTCGGAAGTCCACCACATCTAATAAGAATAAGTCAATGATCTGATTAAACTCTAGAGAGGTTCTCTACATAAGCTTCAAGGAATGTCAAATGCCATCATAAAATGTTAAACATTCTATGATGTGACCTTACCCATCATAGAATGTTACGCATTTTATGATGGATAAGTTCACATTTCCATACATGTGCACTTTTTATGATAATAGAGGTGTTAGACTGACCTGATCTAACTTGACTTATACAAGCCAAATGTTATTTTAGACAAGGCTAGCATAGCCTATATTTATTTTAGGCTGCCATTTTTTGGCCCAACCTGGCCTATGTCGGGCCATCGGGTCTCTAATTTTC